AGCCCTAAACCCTAAGCCCTAACCTGAACCCCAGATCCCCCTTACCGGGAGTCTGGACTTTCGGATCTCTTGAAACCCAAGAGCTGCACATGAAAGGGCTTAGGGTTTAGGGTTTAGGGTTTTAGAGTTTAGGTTTTAGAGTTTAGGGTTTAGGGTTGAGGGTTTAGGGTTTAGGGTTTAGGGTTTAGGGGTAAGGTGCGTTGAAGGGTCTGCTTCGGGGTTCGAGCTTTATTAACGGAGGAGCCTGCATGGTTTGAATAGGGTTTTGAGGTCTATGATACGATAACTATAAGGGTGGTTGTCAAAATTATGGTCCCTTTTTGGGTCCTTAATATAATACGGCACCTATTATTTAGGGTACCCCAAAAGGGACCAAAATTTTGACAACTACCCATAAGACGGAGCCCTAAGGAATATTGTTGGTAACTCTTTTGGCTTCTGTAGTAGGGGCGTTCGAAACCGCCGTCGCTGCATTCGTAGCAGTAGCAGGATTCTGTGGAAGTAATGGCAGCAGTGGTCCTAATGACGGAGGCAAGACCTTACAGGTTGCGGGCCAAAGAACCCTAAACCCAAACCCTAAACCCAAAGCCTAGACCCTAAAACCCTAACACCCTCGCCTGATGGGTTAGCTCCTTCACGGTCTGAGCTTTCTGGCCCAGAGGATCTGGATGTAGCCTCACTTGCGGGCTTTTCCGGGTTTAGGGCTTTGGGTTTAGGGTTTCAGGAACTTAAGTTAAGTTACCGCAATAAGGGTTCTACGAGAGTTCTATGAAGGTTTAAGATTAAGGAACTTAGTTAAAGTTACCTTACATAAGGATGCCACATTACTCACGATCGGGCCTTGCTATGGTAACCACCTCTATCCTGGTAACTTAAGTTAGGTTCCGTCACAAGAACCCAGTTGTTCTTTCACCTGGACATCGCAGGTCAAGCAAGGACAGTCGCCGAAGGGCCGGGGTTCAGGCTCTTCGGGTTGAGTTGGGATGCCGGGCTGTACGGCTTTATTGGGTTGTTCAAGCCGATGCAGGGCTGTACGGCTTCTTTTGTTGTTCAAGCCTAAACCCTAAACCCCAAACCCCTAAACCCCTAAACCGCCAAACCCCTAACTCCTAAACCCTAAACCCCTAAACCCCTGAACCCCTAAACCCTAAACTCTAAACAGCTGAGATGAGGCAGCCGTCGGGTCACGGGTCTTCGCACCCTTGGCCGGCCCTGAATGCCCTGAACCTTCAGACCGGATTGTTCAAAACACCGCCCTGGACCTTAAAGCCACGCTTTAGGGTTTAGGGTCGTTTAGGGTTTGCAGGGTTTAGAGCTTAGGGTTTAGAGTTTAACCCAAGACCTTTAGAGTCCGTGAGCTGATGCCTGAACCCTAGAGCCCCTAAACCCTGCAGTGAACCCGATAATAAGTAGAACAGGGTTTTGGGGCCCATTGTACTATAGTAACAAAGAGGAACCCCAAAATAATATAGGTAATCATTTAAGCCCCGATGTTGCCTGAACCCTAAACCCGAAAGAGGTCCCTGAGCCCTGAACCCTACGGCTGACGAACGCCCAAACCTGAACGATGAACCCCGAAACTGCTTAGGGTTTAGGGTTTAGGGTTCAGGGTTTAGGGTTTAGGGTTTGGGGTTTAGGGTTTAGCCTAGTTTAGGGTTTAGGGTTTAGGGTTTAGCCTAACTCTGATCCTGAAACCCCAAACCTGTACAGGAACCTCGACATATCGAAGAGGAACTTTGATGGGATCTCTTCTGGATGGTATAGTATGTAACTATACGAGGACTGCAGGGGTTAGTAGGAATCGCTCCTCAACCCTTATACAACATGCAAGTAGCACAAACTTAAACGAACCCCAGCTACTGTAGATGCCTTCATAATGAGAATAGGGTTTTGGGGTATATTTTACGAAACTTATAACAAAGGAACCCCTAAAATAGTATAGGTAATTATTTAGGCCCCCATATTATCCAAAACCCCTGTATTCTATTATACTTGCAATAAGGATCCCCGAAAATAGTATAGGTTCTTACTTAGGCCCCCATATTATCCAAAACCCCTATATTCTATTATACTTGTAATAAGTAGCCCCTAAAATAGTATAGGTAATTTTCTTAGGCCCCCATATTTTCCAAAACCCTATATCCTACTATACTTGTAATAAGGAGCCCCTAAAATGGTATAGGTAGGTATTTGGGCCCCTATATTATCCAAAACCCCTATATTCCACTATACTTGAAATAAGAAACCCCCTAAAATAGTATAGGTAGGTATTCCCGACATTATACAAAACCCTGAAATGAAATCTTAGCCGAAGGAGCTGATGGGACCAGGCGTGCGACACGGCCAGGATCAGGTCATCCTCCGAGCTCGTGCCGGGGCGGGGTGTTGGGTTTAGGGTTTAGGGGGTTTGGGGTTTAGGGGTTAAGAGGTTCAGGGTTTAGGGGTTAGGGGGTTTGGGGCTTAGGGGTTAAGAGGTTAAGGGTTTGGGGGTTAGGGGGTTTCGGGGTTAGGGGGTCTAGGGTGTTGGGTATAGGGGGTTTAGGGGCTAGGGGATTTAGGGCGTAGGGTATAGAGGGTTTGGGGTTTAGGGGATGTAGGGTATAGGGGGTTTAGGGGATAGGGGATTTAGGGCGTAGGGTATAGGGGGTTTGGGGTTTAGGGGATGTAGGGTATAGGGGGTTTAGGGGATAGGGGATTTAGGGTGTAGGGGTTAGGGCTTAGGGGATTTAGGGTGTAGGGTTTAGGGTTTAGGGTTGGAAGCAGGGTTTAGGGTTCAGTGTTTATTTCTCAGGGTCTAGAGCTTAATGGCTTCAGGGTTCAGATATGCAGCTTTTTTGTGTGTGTATGTGTATATATATATATGTCATTATATATATATGTACACATCTATATATATATATATGTACATATGTCTGTCTGTCTCTTTCTGTCTGTCTGTCTGTCTGTCTGTCTGTCTGCCTGCCTGCCTGCCTGCCTGCCTGCCTGCCTGCCTGCCTGCCTGCCTGCCTGCCTGCCTGTCTGCTTGTCTGCCTGTCTGCCTGTCTGCCTGTGTCTGCTTCTGTCTGTCTCTGTGTCTTTGTCTCTCTCTGTCTGTCTCTCTCTGTCCGTTCCTCCGTCCGTCTCTCCTCGTCTCTCTCTCCATCTGTCTTTCCGTCTGTGTTTCGGTCTGTCTGTCGGTCTGTCTTCTTCTTCTTCTCCGTGTGGGGGTGTCGGAAAAAGACACGGGTCGGTCTGTCTCTCCTTCTGTCTCTCCGTCTGTCTTTCGGTCCGTCTGTCCGTATGTCTGCCTGTCTGTGTCTGTCTGTCTTTGTCTGTCTTTCTTTCCCCAGGGCTGTGGTGGGGAGTTGCCTCCCCACCTCGCGCATCATGCTTTCTCTGTCTCTGTCTGTCTCTTTCTGTCTCTGTCTGTGTCTGCCTGCGTCTGTCTGCGTCTGTCTGCCTGCCTGCCTGTCTGCCTGCCTGCCTGTCTGCCTGCCTGTGTAAAAACAATCAGCATGTGGAAAAACAAACAGACTGTGAGCTTACACGCCGTTTCGGCAAGCCGTTTCAGCATGTGACACACACGATTCTGGTCAAATTCGCATCTGGCATTCAAAACGTGCAGACTGTGTGTCTCGTCAACCGGAAGAAGAGTTAGTTGGCTTTGCATTAAACAGAAATCATATCTGTTATTATTGTCCGAACCGTACCTTCCTCAGAAAGCTTGACGTGCGATGCTCTTTTTTCGGTATGTCTGCCTTACTTCTCCTGTTCTTCCTTTTCATTTCCATCGCTTCCTTCTGGCCGGTTGGTTCTCCTGTAGCCTGCCGGTGATCGTCTTGCGTTCTTCTCGCCTGTCGTTCTCCTCTTGCTGATTATTTGGCTGCTCTATTGCAGGGTTCCTTCTCTGTTCATGTTTTCATTCTCGCCTTCTGTGTGTCCTGCTCCAGCCTTATCCTCCACAACTTACTCCTATCCTGTCAATGAATTGTTCTCTCTGTTCTTTGTTGACTGTTTTGCTATACGCATCCCTCTGAGTGTTGCTGAGTCCATTGGCTCACTAAATGAAGCCGCTCGACTCGCTCGACAATGCACCACGCTCTGACGCGACTTCGAGGAAGGCCCGTCACCATATTGGAGAAAAAGTTCGTAGTGGCAGTAGGTCGGATCCGCCAAGACCGTCAGGTCCCATAGAAGGGTTTGAGTCAAGTGCTCTACACGACCTGCAGGGCTAGGTACCCTTCGGGACAAACCCATGCATTCGCGTCCTTTCGGATTGCAACGAACCCGGTAATGCCAAGCTCATCCCGGGCTTTCTGGCAGGCGGCAATCCAGCAAGCCACCCTCGCGAAGTTCTTCCGGCCTCCGGAATCAGAACCGCAGCAAGTGGACTCACCGGGCTTACGTGGCCCCAAAACACACAATCGAGAACAGGCAGATTCATCCAACCTGCTTCGGAAAGCCTCTTGCTCACCACCTTTCCGTACTTGTTCTTCTTGAGGTCTCTCTTCTTGAGGCCGGTAGAGGTCCGGCTAAACTTGCCCTGGAAGACCTGGGCCTTGGCATCCTTGCCTGTTGCCACCTTGGCCTTTTTGGGGGCCTTGGCCTTGGGGGCCTTGGGGGCCTTGGCAGCCTTGGCCTTGCTGGCCTTCCTGGGCTTGCTGGGCTCCCTTGCTTTGGGCTTGCTCTTCGTCTTCAGAATCGTCTTCGCCACTTTCTTACGATCGGCTGGCCGCTTGGCCCGCTTCTTCGTGGACTCCTCCGTCTCCGTCTTCGTGAAACGCCGGATGGCACGGACCTTGCCGGTCCTGGCATTCTCCTGCGTCATGGCCTCCAAGTCGATTCTGTAGGAGAAGTAGCCTGGACGGGAAGGGGATGGGCTTGCAAAGCAGATTTTTCCGGGCAGCCTGCGGCGGCAACTATTCACAGACCAACCCACCTGGCCTGAAGACACCGTCCTGATCGCTGTACGCTTCTCCTGGTCGTTGCTCACGTGCTGTGCAAACATCTCTTCCACCAGGGCAGAAGCATCGTCCTGCTACAATGCGAAAGCTTCTCTAGCTACTGGCAGATCTTCAAAGTTGTGTTCAAGTAGACCCAGGACAGCATGAGCCAAAAAAAAAATGTACTGAACAAATGTACAACTGTCACACCGTCTCAGGTAATGTCTGCAAACCTGTCCTCGTACGGATACCAGCCACGTCTCTTGCCATCCACCCCGTCGTGCACATAGTACTGCCAGAGAGCTTGCTCATCCACAGCACTCACCTGCTGCCACCAGAAATTTCCATCAGCGACCCTCTCTCCTGGCTTCAGACTTCCCCAAGCACTTCCGGTCCGTTTCTCGAACACTCCGGCAAAAGCTTCCCGCATCTCCCTTTCCGAGAAAGGGCCGTCGAGCTTCTTGTTGCCGGGGGTGCCCGTCTCGCCCCAGCACTGGTAGCAGTAGAATGTCTCCGAGGTCTCGCCTTCATAACAAGGATCCTGAAGACCCTGAAGAACGTGGTAGTGGTCCATCTTTGAGTTGATTCGAACCAGACGCACATCAAAGCCGGAGACGAGGGCAACACGCTCTGCCAGCTCCTTGTCAAGCACTGCCAGGGAGCGATCTGCCATGCTTGCGCAATGTGAACCGTGCTGATGAGTCTTGAGACGAAAGCTGCAGAGAAAAGCTGCATGAGTTCAAGAGCTGAGAATCCTTTTGTGAGGCGATCAGGCACGCCAAGCCTCCGAGTTTGAGAATAGCGGCGCCGTGACCGCGAGTTGCCTGCACACAGCGCCCGCGGACGGCACTACAGTCGTGTGTGATTGGCGTAGAACGGCTTGACCATAAAAATCCCAGCCTGCCCTTTGCACTTGGGGGATGTTTTTTCCTAACGGTGGACGGGACACAGAAAGGCACGGACTTCTGCCCACAACCAGACTTGCTCGAGAAACCTCACAACCCGTCAATTCCTCTGTGCAAAGCTGGAACAGTCTCGTTGTGCCAGCCACCAAGCCCTCCCATGCCCTCCCGCACGACTTCCGAACAGTTGTCTCCTTGCCGCGTCTTCCATCTGCCGCTGCCTTGCCTGTACGGCCAGCATGGTTCTGAGGTGCTTCGAGGCTTCTGGCAGAAAGTGGCAGGTGCGGCGGGTGCTCCGAACACACGACAAAACGTTCCTTCCGTTCCCTTTCTCGACTCGCTTCAGTGCCGGCGCCCCCCTTCCAAGCGCTCGATCTTCCGGCGCCCCTTGGCCTGGCCACACTTCACGGAGCCAAGGCCCAAACACATCGGTGCCGAAGGCCTCCAGCCGCACCCGGACCCCGCGGCGCATCACGTATTCCTCAAGAAAGGAAAAGGGGAAAGAGACACAAGTAAATGCTAAAATGGTGGGCCCATCTGTCCTTGAACTCATCCTCGCTCATACCGAAGTTGAAGAAGTCGGACAGATTGGTTCCAGCCCGGCGCCAGGGTGTGTCTGCCAGCTCGGCCTGGCAGCGAATCAGCATCAACAACTGCCTCGCCTCGCCTCCCCTCAAGGCAGCTGCCTCATCCATTTGGAAGGAAATCTTGGCCACGGTGGTTTCCAAGTCCTGTGGCCAAACCCTGGGCAGGGTTTCGAACTGCAGGATCTTCCGTCGTCCTCACATGTCCTCGTCCTGTTCAACGAGCTCCGCCTGATTCTCCGGAGCAACCTGGACAGCGCTTGAAGCGACACGCAAGCGCGTCCCGTCATCTCGAGACTGGACGCTGCCGGCCCAGGCCCCCGGCTAGAGCCAATGCACCAGTCTGCCCGGGATCAGCGTCTCCTCACAGAATCGCATTTGTTATATCTTGAGATAATAAGAAACACCGATGATAGGGCGATCCGTCTATAGCACCCTCACCATGGACCGCGCCACGCTCCCATTGCCTCAGAAGTTCATCCAAAGTCGAGGACAAGTGCTTCTGCAAATCACATGCTGTGCTCCTTCATCAGCAGAAGCTGTGTACAAATGCTGCTGGAATAAAGCTGCTGATGATTTTTGTCCACGACCAGCTGGGAAGCCAGCCGGCCCAGATAGTAGGCCATCCCACCACTACGCGGCCTTGATGCAGACTGCAAGAACATGGTCCGTTGAGAAAAGCTTAGGAATATCTGAGGCAGGTGCCCTGAATCGCAAAGAACCACCCTGACATTGTCTTCCTTTTTGTACAAGATGGCCGAGGCTTCTCAGCATTTTTCGGACTTGAACATTAGCAGCCGTTAGCAGCTACACCGACATCGGGGGATTGATTCAGAGCAATTTGCCCGTTCCTAGAAACTTCAGGCATGTACGCACGTTACGCGCGCAGCTGCCCGCGCACCCTTGAGGTCCTCGTCTGAAGCCTCCGGGGCCTCGAAGTTGAGGTCCACGGGTGCCTGGATCTCTTTTCGTCTTTCGACTGTCGGTCCCGGCGAGACTGCCCTGCCTCGATGATTTCGACTTCATCGTCATCCCTCGGCCGCTTTTGGCCCGGTGCGGGCCGAAGCTCCACCTGTCCACGAAGCGCAGACATCTCTTGCTGCAGTGACATTTCGTCTTGTAGATCATTCGCTCTGCTTCGCATTATCCTATACCACAGCGTCTACCAAGCCATGGAGGAGCGAATAGCCAAGAGGATGATAGAAGTGTTGCTCTCTGTCCGGAAAACGTCCGAACCGAAAATTGAGTAGCAACCCCGAGACGGCGCCACTGATAAGTATACCTTTGGCGTAGCCGGGCGCGTCTACCAGATGCATAGCGTCTTGGCTTTTCATCCTGTCCCACAAGAGCCCCGGCAATCCAGACGAAGAGAAACATCATGACCTGGCATGCCTTCTATTGAAATCTGACACGAGGCCCTGTCGAACATCTCAATCACAAACCCTGCTAGGTCTTCACATCTTTGACTGCCCTGAGTGCACTGTCTTCGTTCCGGCTCAGACTCGGATCTGCTGCCAGGAGTTTCGGAGCTGTCCTTGCACATACCCCTGTTATGTATCGCACTGTTTTGCTTGTGTTGAAGACCCGCGCCAATTTTCTTTGACTCCTCTGCCTCAATCGAGGTGACCAGTTGATATCTGTAAGCAGTTCTTCCGTGTTATGCCATTCTGCCTGGGCTGAACTGATATGATATGGTTCTCCAGCTGTGCTGTTGACAGCGACTCCAAAAAGGCACGTAGGGGGGAGATAGAGATCCAGACAGATAACTATTCGGACAGATATGTGCCATGTAAGGAAGCAAGCAGGAACGATGGAACATATTACAAGTAACCGAGTACTGAAGAGAAGTTCAGGAATGCATGACTCGACTGTGCATTGAAAAAGCTGATGCTCTTCTTGACACCATTGTCATTACTGCTTACCGACCTTGCTATTGATCAGTACGGGTAGACTGAAAACAGGCATCCGTTGAGTGATACCTCGCTTGTGCTTGGTATGGACACGTTCTACTACGACTTTGTTCTGCTTGGCGCGTCGAACGTGGCACAACAGCGACGATTTTTATGATGGGATTCGAACTGGAAGCAGCAGCAACATGTCGAGCAATGTCACCGCCCTCTGCACCTGTCCCGGCTTTCCCTCGAGGGTCATCTGCTCATGCGCACCTGGAAGTCGTTGCTCTCGAGCCTTCGGAAGGCATCGAGGCCATCCACGGCATCGCTGCCTTGGAAAGGAGCTCTTACCGGAGCCGTCACAGACATCGGCACGGAGACCCTCTGAGATGCCTGCTCATGGCTCTCGGGCACAAGCTCACTCTACAACGATTTCTTAAGCTGTATGCTGTCACAGGTCGTGGCATTCTGCCAGGACTTCAAGATGCAGTAGGCTGCTCTGCATGTGTCCGTGTGTCACCGTCTAACATGACTTGCATCATCTAACGGCGGCTCCCCGGCAAATCAGCTCCATACATGAGGCATGAGACATGGCGAAGACAAAGGCAAAATCTTCACTGCAATGTCGCCTCGCGTCCTGTCGCTGGAACGGCACGTGGCCTCGTTCCGTCAGATCTGCATCGACTGATGGCAACGAAGCTTTACAGGCAAGCCCATCATCATTTGACATACGCAGGCGAAGTTCGACAGATGCAGCCCACAAACATTCCTTCCAAGGTTGCTCTTCGTGTCTGCTCGTAGAGTTGAATCTAGTTGATCTCGCATGAAACAATTTGCTCTGAGTTCGTGCCGAAGCAAAACCATTGCTTGACTTAGCCGATGTTTCTGAATGGCACGTGCCGGCACTGGGGTCTGCGCTGACTTTGGCTGGCTGAAGCTGGACCTGACAAGTCTTGCAAGGCATACGAAGTAGTCGGCTCAGCAGGGATGAAGGCGAGAGATTATGCTGGAGAGTCCTCTCGATTACGCCCGCCTGCTGCAGCTCGTGCCACTGTGCCCCGCTGAGGCGTTGCGGGCCGCGCTACCGCCCCTCGCTGAGGCGTTGCAGGCCTGTTGTCGGTGGAAGAGACTTGCTGCACTTGCTTAAGATCACCGTGCAACAAGGCTCTCAGGCCTTGTAAGACTGTCTTTGTGGCACGATGCTGCCATTTATGAGTTTTGAGTTGCTACTGGTAAGCATTTCTTGTTATTATCGACTGCCGCCACATGTGAGATCTGATCCTGCTATTGTATTGATGCCACTGCAACATCTCACAGAGCACCCGGGGGTCCTCAATCGTTGTGGACTAGGCGACTGCCGCGGCTGCTCATTGCATGTCAACTGCTGGCTCGAAAGCCTCGGTCTGAGGGTGTCATGGAAGTTGCTACCTTATGAATATTACGATAGCTCTTCCACTCCTCTTCTCCTTCTCCATCATGACTGCTGATATGAGGACCCGGCATCCGGCTGCCCGTGCTCCTGGACAGCACCGTGGGAAGAGCGTCTGATCTTGTTTGTGCGACCACCGCTGCCTCTCGTTGGAGGCGGTTTGCGGAAGCCTGAAGTGGGAAGGAAACAAACACAGATGGAGAAACTCAACACTCCTCGCCTTGGCTTCACTTCGCGACTTGTGGCCTCTCGAGAGCCAGCTCGAGAGCCAGCTCGAGAGCCTGCGGAGAACAGCTTCCCCTCCCTGTTCCCAGCCTCTCGGATCTCAAAAAAGGCCTCGAATCCTCGCTTCGCTGGAGGAACGTTGCATCTCCTTGGCCTTTTGCAAGGAACTGCAAAGCTGAACCCTCCCGACTCTTGGATTACACGCCTGCGGAGCTTTTGCCGATGCGCGCTTCTGACGGCTTGCCAAATGCCTTCAATCATTGGAAAAGAGAAGCCAGCATGACCACTGCAGGAAGACCTGTACAAGGAAATAAGCTGATGCCGAGTTGCGCGTTGCTAGCAGATGCCTGCACTTCCAAGAGCACTCACGGCATGTTGATGAGTGCAAAACTTTGACTGTCCGTGTAGGCCACTAAAGCTCACTGCGCATCCCAGCCTCGGCGCTCCTCTCGCGTAGCACCTGCACAGCTGCACGCGCCCTTTCGCTTTGGCCAGGCCGACGCAGATCCACAGGCGGGCCTCCGGCTCGGGGATAGGATGCGGCAGGAAATCGTTCAAGGTACCTGCTGCGCAAACACGATGCCATCAACAGTGGTGAGGGTCACTGACCACGGTAAACTGCAGGACCGACAGTACACGAAACTGCAATAAAGAGGCACCAATCTCGGGAGAAGCCACCAACCTGGCAACGTCGGAAGCCAAAAGGCCGTTGCCTCCCGGAGGCAACAGAAGATGAGTGGCAGATCAGATCAGAGCTTTTGAGTCTGGCCTGGCCTGTGAGCTCCTTTGCTGACGAGCTCTTTCGCAGCTTGTTGGCCATGGTAGCAGACGCAGAGCGCCGCAATCCAGAGAGCTCCCCGGGGTCTTTGGTATCTTGACTGGCTTCCTTGGCCGTCTGCGACCCCCTCCTGCGCAGTGAGAGGCGGGCCGAAACCGGAGGCGCGTTCAGCAAGGCCGAAACACGCCCGGAACTGCCTGAACCGCCGGACCCAGCACGACTCGGGGCGCTCCGGGCAGTGTCGCTTCTGCTTGCGTCCTTCTTGTCCGGGGAACTCGATGTCTGACTTGTATTCAAATCCTTGACATTATCGTCAGATGCTGTGGCCATGAGGTCATCGGTCGTAGTTCCGACAGCTCTGGTGTTGCAGCCTTTTGCGGGTGCTTGGAAGCTTGCCACAGAGCTTTCACACTCGTACTCCTCTGCAACGACACCGATTGCGCGGTCGTGCATCTCGACAGATGACTGAGCACTCAGAGATGTCGTGTGCATCGCAGGGTCCGAAGGTTCCGCCGGTTCCGCCAGTTCCGCCGGTTCCGAGGACGGGAGGCAGCTCCAGGCGGTTGGCTTTTCACCAAGCGCCACGGAGAGATTCGCCTCGAGCTTCATGAGCTCCGCCATCTTCTCCACGAGTTCATTCCGGGTTGCTTCCAATTTGGCACGCATCCGGCTGAAGTCCTTCTCGGACACGGCATCCACGGCCTCCTCGTCCTGGGACTCGGAGGCCAGGCCGTTCCTTTCGCTCCCCGTGTCAGCAGGGATGCCGGTCTCGCTGTCATTCTCCGGCTTCTCGTATGAAGGGCTTACGCGCGATCCCTGCGGCTGCGGAGGAGTTGCTGGGGCAGCCCAGGTGGGCAGTGGCTCTGCAGGAACACAAACTGCATCCACCCTGGCTCGCGCGGCAGCTCCTTCAGGGCACGACACTTCAGAGGGTGTCACGGGGATCGACGCTCCGCGCGTGCACTAGCAAATGAGTTGTTTTGCATCGGCTGGCCTTCGGGCTGCACGAACCCATGTCCCTGTCCTGGAGGAGCAGCTGGTGCCGTCAGTGAGGCTTTGCGGACCAGGCAAGGCGCAGAAAACTGACGCTGAACCACCACCACGGGCTCCATCACCACAGGCTCCACACGACGAGGAACAACAGCGCGCATGACTGGGACGAACGAATGGACTCCATGAAGCATCTGAGGCGCCTTGGCGGGCCCGTCGTAGCTTCATTCTATTTCATTCTCATCAGTGATGTGTGAGAACCTGTTTCATAGTTCTCTATTTGGTGCCCAGTGTTCTCCAAAGCCAAGACACCTGGGGCAATTGCCCGGGCGCCCAAGGAAGTCCACATGCGGCCCGAACAGAGGTCACCGTCTGCGAGGCTCCTACAAACTGTTCGTCAGACCAGCTCACCACAGCCACATTTCCCTGGCATGTTCAGACCTATCCCGTGGCCGCGTCCTGAAGTTTGTGACGCACTCACCTTCATGTCGAGACCGGCATCTCACGTTCGAAAGGAAGCATGCCGCTCTATCCGAGACTCTGCAGAATGCTCCCATGCAACATTGGATCTCGGGGGCAAAGCGTCTTTTACTAGCCGGCTGTACAGAACATCGAAAGACCATGCAGGTGCAGGTATGACTGTGTGCGTGTGCACATTTAGCTTGAGCTGCATGCTCGAGCACAGTCGAGCAATTTCAGAGCACGATCGTGACGAGACAATGACCGTCCACAACAGCGATGTTTGCTCACTCTGCTGACCCTGGTCTCACATTTTTTCTTTTCTCGGTCGTGGCACAACCATCTCAACTGCAGACTGCGTACGGAACTGCAGTCTTGCTGTGCCAATGTGGTAGATTGGCTTCCTTCACCTTTCGTTGAGAGCCTGAGAGCCAGTTCAGGATGCAAGCAAACACTGTGATGAGTGTAGTACAGCTGCCTGGACGCCGTGGACAAGCCGGCCCGCGCTGTTCCTGCTATCTCAGAACTGCAAAGGAGAGCTGGAGGTTCGGGATGGCATGTGGGCTAGTTTCAAACTCAGGATCTGCTTGCAGGCTGCAGAGGAACTCCCTCTGGAGGCACAATGACTCTGTATTTGTCGGATAAGGTCCGACACCCGCTTTCAATGCTTCTGCAAAGGCGACAGCCCGAGGCAAAGACCTGTACAAGCGTGCATCCCACTGATTCAAAGAAGCAGGGTACCGCCCTTTTTGGGTTCGGATGCAGACCAACCTTTTCTGCGCTGGTGGCAGTGTCTGCGCCATCGCTGGCTTGCTGCTTTGAGGGCAAAATGATGCCTTTCAGCTGCGAGGTCTATGCGAAAAGCGGTATCTGCAACCTGCCTAAGGCCTCTGTACATCCCTTGTGGCCTGCATGCCGACAAGAGCAACCCTGGACCCCAGCAACATTCTTGAAAAGCACGGGTCCTCAATTCCTCACGATCCCTGCAGAATCCGTCAATGCAGTGGCAGGAAGCATCGGAGCGCGACCAAGACATCTAGGACACCCTCGACGTCAAAAGAGGACTCTGTGTCCTTCTTCAGCTCGGCTGCATCGGGTTGGACCGTGGCCTTGAAAAGTCGCCGTGAGCCAGAGCTTCTTTGACTCCGCTCGAGTCCTTGGCTCTTCCCAAGGCCTCCCCGGCCCCGGTCTTCCAGTAAGTTCGGGAAGAAGTCTGCTGGAGGAGCTGGGGAGCTCATGGCTGGGCGCAAAGGGGTCTTTCAAACTTTCCACACTCGACTTGAAAACTCTGCGGTGGGAATTGGCTCCACTGGCTGTGCGCGATGGCATGGGAGCAGGTCTAGTGAGATTTTCACACGGTCCCAAGTCTGCTGCTCTCGAAACATGTACAGTGAAACTCAAGTCTCGGCAGCGCGTGCCGATCACCGGCCCAACCCGAAGACAGGCCCCGTCCACCTTCAGCACATTACCAGCTTTTACTGGCACAGCGCTGTTACATTCTCATGGCCTTTCAGACCAGGCCTCGGTACCTCGAGGCAAGCCTTTGCGGAAGCCATGCCCTTGCGGTGCTGGAATCTATTCGATGGATTTCGCCAGGTCCGGGCGGGAGTACCTGAGTTCAGAGACGCTTTGAGTCGCAACTCGCCACAACCGGGGACCCTTACAGGGACACGGGGGCCTGTCTTCCAAAGTGCCAGCGATGCCCAGCGTCACGCCCTGCAGCCGAGGCCTGGGCGTGACCGGCGTGACCGGCTACCGCAGCACACGGAGCGGAAGAGGGCTTGTGTGTGCAGCGTTGTGCAGCGAACTTCCGGTCGCCAGCAAGCTCGCTGCTAGCGGCTAGCCCGTGCGCACCCGTAGATGCTGCAGTGTCGATGAGATTGCAGCTGAAGCTTCACAGCATGGCAAGCATGTGCTCGGCAATGCTTCTACCCAACCCTGCAAAGCCGTGAATGCACGCCTGGCTGATTACTGAGAGGCTGCGACATGTTGGCTCGCTAGCAGTCGAACCGACTTGAGAATTCAGCCTGCTCTTCACGGAACACTAAGTCCAACATGTTGCAACTGACGCAAGAAATTAAGGAGGATGGAAAGCGGGAAGAGAAGTGCACCCGAGATCTCCAACAGCTTGCGCAAAGAGTCGAAAAGAGTGGCAACTGGCACCTCATGGACCCTATGAGAACAATTCTGACCATGGCAACTTTGCCGTGCCAGTGCATCTGCAGGGCACATTCCAGTCAAGGCTTAGCCTGCGGCAGAATAACACATACCTGCAACGTGAGCAGCGTCGAAGTGAACAACATGATCGCTTCGATTATCGCCAACTATGTGCCGCCCAATTCCCTGCACTGCCAGGGTGCTGCCACCAGAAGGAGGAAGAAGATCCCAGCTACGAAGAGGATGAACAGCGGCTTCAACCCTACCTGGACCCATGCTGAAGGTGGTAGAAAATTCGAGCCTGTGCTTGTCAGTCATTCGCCCAAGGCCGCAGCCCCCGCGTCAGGCTCTGATGTCCTAGAACCAGCCCGTGCTATGGCGAGAACACTGCGTGCAAAAGGATGGCAGCAGCCACTTGGGCTTCTGGCTGAAGCCCAAGGTCGTTGGAAAACGTGACGTTGCCAGCAGCAGTTGCAACTGTTCACGGCTACAGACTTGCGTGTTTAGTCCACAGAGACTGACCGGTCAGGCCTTGGTACGGATCACTGGCTTTCTGCTTGGCTGGGATGTCGTCCGGGGCAACTAATCGCCCCGCAAGGGATTCTGGCCGCCTGCTCAGGTGCATACGACAACAGATGCTGGGCCTCCATCTCCGCGAACGCCTTTGGGAATGTGTGGTCGGCTGTCCGGCGATTTCCTGCGTTAGGGGCGACGCAAAGCAAGACTAACCTTTGAAGTCCTACATTGTCACATTGTCCTACAGGCAATCGTCTCTTTACCCGTGCAAAACACGTTTCAGGCCCTTCATTTCGGGCCGGGGGTGTCCATTTCGAGTCTGCCGGTTTGGGTCGGGCAGGGGCTATTCCAGGGCGACCGGGTCGAAATACAACAAAACGGGCGAAAATACAACCACACGGTGGAAAACACAACTGAACCACCATTGTGGGCCAGCCCAAACGGGAGAAATTACAACTGGCTATTGCGGTGCCTTTATAGGTTTTGACATTGCCTGCAGAAACTCCATAGCACAGCTTTAAGGTTCAAGCACCAAAGCTAGGTAAAGCTGGTTGTGATTTGTCCCGTTTTTTTGCGCCCTAACGCACGCGAGGACTTAACATGATATTCGGGTATGCTTTCGGTCATGTAATGTCATGTAGGTACGAACGGCATGTAGGCAATACTTAACGTGATTAATTCGGTTTGTATGGCTTCGGTCATGTAGGTACGAACGGGTGCTCGGCAATACTTAACATGATCATTTCGGTTTGTGTGCTTTCGGTCATGTAAGTACGGACGGCTGGTAGGCAATACTTAACATGATTAGTTCGGTGTGCATGCTTTCGGTCATGTAGGTACGAAGGGCATGTAGGCAATACTTCGCATGATTATTTCGGTGTGTATGCTTTCGGTCATGTAGGTACGAAAAGCATGTAGGCAATACATAACATGACTATTTTGGTTTGTATGCTTCCGGTCATGTAGGCCCGAAAGGCATGTAGGTTGTATTGTTACCCATCTGGGTAGTGACACCCATCTTGTTGTAATTCGCTTTATTCTTATATTCCAGGCCGGGGGGGGGTGCGCCGTATCATGTGGCAGTCTGGCAGTACCTTTACTTTGACAGTTATGACGACTAGGACGACGACGACGACGACACAGGGGACTCCGAAACCCTCATCGTCCCTCCACTTGGAGTTCAAACTGGCACTGCCAGCCGGGTGAACGAAGGGGGTTTGGAAAGTGGATCAAATGTCAGCACAGTCGTGCGAGTGTAGCCGCATGATGTTTGCGTGGTATCACCACTGCAAGCTCCAGCGTGGCAAAGGCAAAGAGCTAGTCAAGTCCACCAGTAGGAACATAAATATCCGGCAGTGTGGCTACCTGTCGCGCCAGCGCGCGCCCCCTATCTTGAATCTGGTTGCCTTGAACGACTGCTGGGCAGGGGAATGCTGTCGTGTTCTGGTGGCTTTTGACATCCACTCCCATTATCTAAACCGCAGCCGTCAAATGCCGTCCTGCACATGCTCACTCGGTGGCCGTCTGTGTCCTCCTTCACGTCCCACTTATTAGGATATGTCTCCATGCGCAGGCGCCACGACGGCCTGGGAGACACGGCACCGGGCCACCGGGCATGGATCGCCTGCCAGATGTGTCGTAGCATCGCCTCCATAAAGGACAGCTCCAGCGCTTCCGGCTATTTCGCGTGCCCGTTCCAGCAAGAGAAACAGAGCCAACACCTCCGACTCGTGGGCCCCTGCCTGCTACCATAGCGTAGCGGCCTGGCCACCGACCAGGCCTTTAGGCTGTGGTGGGCGATCTGCCCCCCAATACGACTGCCAAGGGCCGACGGAGCATGCTTGCGCGTCGAAAGTGCATGAGCCACAAGTTTGTCCACCATCCGATTGCAGGCCGAAATCACCTCGCGGGCTGCGCCGCAGCAATGAGGGGCAGAATCGGGCCAGTCCTCTGCAACCGCGTGCTCATGCGCGATGTGAAAGCAGCCCATCTCTGCCCACCAGTCACTTGCCGATTGGTCCAGCTTGCGCTGTGGCAGACACGAGAGCAACCGGTGAGACAGGAGACTCCACTGCCTGCTCTTGCCAGGTGTCAGCCCTGCGCCAGGCACGCGTGGGCAGGCCAAGTGTTTGGAACCTGGCGGACCCCGCTCGAAGCCGCAGCCTCCGGCCGCGCCTTGTGGAAAGGCCTGATCATACTGCCTCGCGGGAGCTGCGAGATTGGTCATAAGGCGACCCAGAACACGTCCCACGAATCTGTCCTTTTGCGAGGAACCTCATCGCTCTCGTGACCAATCCAGTCGAGCACGCTGCATCGGCAGCTCAACCTGCGCAGCAGTGTTCCTCCCGCGCAAGCGTAGAGTGAGGTCGCTGGGCACGACGGACGTCAGCTGCACGCTGCCGACGCCACCAGGCTCAGGCATTCCGCCGTGCCTCCGAGCTTGGAAAGAATTAGCCTCTGCGTGCTGCGTCTAATTCATGAAAGCTCGGGGCAGGCGCACACTATTTCAATGAGAGGGCAATAGGATAAGACACCCCGGCTTTGCGACTGGAACATGGCCGCCGCTTCATCCAAGAGCACCTTCGGGCCTGCGAAGTCTGGCGGAATTGGGTTCTCGGATGCTGGAAGGAAAAGCTCACGGGAGCTAATGTAGCTAAAGGCTCTGCTGCGAACTTTCTGTCGTGAGGCCTATGGCGTCGAAACCTCAAGAAAGGGGCCCCTTGCTGCCAGCAAGCATGGCAATCAAGAGTCAACACTCAGCAGTCACATGTTACCTAAAGCATGCCACCAACAAGCCTGTCGCACAAACCCGATCTAAACCCAAAAGCCCTCAAAACAGATGGAAACCCTAAACCCTAAAATCATGTTGGTTGAAGAACCGAAAAACGTACAATGAGATGGTGGTTGCGAAACCCCAACCCACATGGAGATCTTGGTTGAGAAGCCCTAAACCCTATGAAAAAGAGATGCTAACTGCGAAACCCAACCTCGTAACCCTATAAAAGAATTTCGGTTGAGATGCCCTGAAGGTTTGGCAAGAGGAGAATGGTGGTTGATAGAGCCGAAATGATTCGATACCAAAAGAGGATGAAAGCTGCCAAACCTTGAAACCTGACAGGAGACGTTGGTTGGCTTAGACACTCAGAACGCCAAAGGGGATGGTGCTTGAGAAGTCCAAAGCAACGAAAGCAGATGTTGGCTGCGAAACCCGGAACCCTAAAAGAAGATGAAAGCTGCCAAACCCTAAACCCAAAAGATCATGTTGGTTGAAGAACCCAAAACCCCGAAAGAAGATGGTGGAGAGAAACTCCAAAACCGTAAAGGAGATCTTGGTTGAAAAGAAGCAAATGTTGGTTGCGAAACCATGGCTGCCAAACCCCAAGACCCTAAAAGGAGATTTTGGTTCAGATGCCCTGAAGGCTAGGGTTAGGGTCAAGGGCGATGGAAGCCAGACTCCGGCCATCCCAAAGGAGAACTCTGGCTGCTTGGGACGTGAGACCCGGAGTAACTCGAAGACCATTACCTTCCTAGGGTATGAAAGCTGGCAAACCTTGATATCGTTGGTTGGGACATCCAGGACCGGTGGTTGCAAAATCCAAAACCCAAAAAACAGACGTAAACTCCGAGTTCTAACATGAGATGAAAGCTGGCAAACCCTAAACCCTAAAATCATGTTGGTTGAAGAACCGAAAACCTTACAAGGAAATGGTGGCTGCAAGAAAAATATTGGTTGCAAAACCCAGAACTTCAAAGGAGATGTGGCTGCCAACCCGCAAAACCCCAATGGGAGATTTGGGTTCGAATGGCCCGAACATTTAGGGTCACGGCCATCCCCAAAGGCTTGAACTTCGGTCCCGGAATTCGGATCCACATCCCGAAACTGACAGAACACCCCCTCCCCTCTTTCCCCTTCACTTCTGGGCAACAGTGCCATCGGCGGCCAACCCCTAAACCATGAAAGGACAAAGGCGGGAGCAACAAATCTGAAAACCTTGGATCGACGGGCAGCAGACTCTAAACCCTGGAGACAAGCGACACGGCTAGCTTCGTTCAGCTACTTTTCCGATCAGGTGGCAACAGTTTTGAAGCGAAACGTCCGCCACTGCGGCACACTTCCATGACGTTGATCCCTCGAATTGGGCTTGTGTTCTTCTGCCTGCGTGGCACGTGGCACGCCCATCAGTTTCAGACGAGGTCATAAACTAATCCAAGGCAGATGCTGCAAGTCTTCCAACTCATGTTGGAGCTGTAATGAGTTGTAATGCTATACCTCCCGCCACCTGAATTGTTTTGGCCGGCGGTGATCTGCAGTCAGGTTTGCGGACTGGGTGTTACAATAATGAATTTGTTGCAAGCTCCGGGATCAGTAGTAACTGAGTAACAGTCGTCTTAGAGGCCATTGTAGTAGTATAGTGGCAACTTTAGAAGTAGTAACAGTAGTAACAGTAGTAGTAGTAGTAGTAGTAGTAGTAGTAGTAATAGTAGTAATAGTAGTAGTAGTAGTAGTAGCAGTAGTAGTAGTAGTAGTAGTAGTAGTAGCAGTAGGTGTAGTAGCAGTAGTAGTAGTAGTAGTAGTAGTAGTCGTAGTAGAACTCACTTGTAGTACCAGTAGTACCAGTAGTACTTGTAGTACTAGTAGTACCAGTAATACTAGTAGTACCAGTAATACTAGTAGTACTAGTACTACTAGTAGCACTAGTACTACTAGTAGTACTAGTA